ATTAGCTCATTAAACTCTTTGAAAATATTTATTAATTTTAAATTTAGAATCAGTAATTAAAGCACATTTCGTGCAGAAATGGTGTTCACGTTAGATCCTACCATTAGTAGGGACTTAGCATGGCGAGGACTGACAAAATAAATCTTATTGAAACTAAAAAAAGACCTTGTTGAATATTGAATTCGTGACCATAAAAATATTAGATAATATTACTAAAGATTTTTAAATATCTGACAAAATATATTTCTTATACAATAAATATAGTAGTTTAATGCACATTTATATGGCATCGTCATAAGCCCAAATTTTGTTGGGCTTTAAAATGTATCAATATGATATCTTATTAACGTACAATATATTTTTTCTTCTTTAAAAGTTCATACAAAAATATTTCAAAATTTTCCTAAACTACAAATGAGTCCTTCATTGAAATTTAGAACGTAGAAGAATATAAATTCGTCCTATTTGTGAGTGTTTTCAGTAATAGAAAATTGTTTTGGTAATTAACAAAATGTTTTTACCAATACCAACTAATATCTACATTTCCAGCAACTCCTTCCAAGCAGAAGCAGGAGACATTAAGGCTGTTATGGTGCGGAGCTGCTTATGAAGTGATTTGCGTTTTACCTCCAATTTGTGGCTTGTATAATGTTTGTGAATTTATCTGATTTAGTAAATGTTTAATGGCAGCCAAGTACCAGCACGCCAAGGCTTTAGTATGTGAAATTGTCAGTTGGATAGGATGGATGGGATGGATGGAAGGTGGCAGAATATGTTCAGTTTTGTCTGCTGCCATTCCTTATTTATTGTCCTTATTTGTACTGTCATTGGAAACATGAAACCATTTTATGAAACTTAATCGGGTAAGTATAGGAGAAGATTAATCACGTGACATTTGTACAAAATCTGAATTATTTACTATTTTGTATCCGTTCACGAATTTGTGTAATCTAGTATTTGTGCAGGTTGGGAGCACTTTTGCGGTTTGAAATTGGCTATGTAAGCCAATGAAGAAACGTAAACTTCTAAACTTTATGGAGGAGCATGTGTTCGTCTGAACTTCAATGGATTACCATACGGCATTTGTTGTAAGTTTGCAATAAGTTTATATGTTTGTTTGCAACAAATAAGGTAATGCTGGAGCATTTGGTCGAATGGTCATTTTGGCATTAATGTGGAAATATTGAATCTCAGCTGCAATTGCTTAAATGGCTTCAAATTTATATTCCTCATTCAAAACACTTCATGACTTCGACAATTTTGGCTTTGTTTATTTTTGTTCGCAGCAATTGTTTTCGGACTAAATTTTCAATTGAAAAGCATACTTGTGTAAATATGAAACATAACCTTTATTTTACTACCATTAATAGAGGCAAAATACAAAAATTTGCATTTGTAGCCCTACTGGTTTAGACGCTGATTGTAGTGGGTAAGAAACTTTATTTACGCCTAACATTAAACCGACACCTACAGATATTTTTGGCTTTCCGTAGATGTGTCTGTCTGCAGTCCAACCAGTTCGTCCGTCCAACTGTTCTGCTGTCCTTTGCTGATTGATTATGAGCGTGTATATCTGTACAAGTGTACAAAATCATAAAATTAAGCTTTAACACGTTCGCCTCTCTTCTTTTGGCCAATTTGCCCAAAATTTGCTTTAATTTATTGAACATGTTCCTCCTTATTTCAGATCAGATTTTGATGATATTGATAAGGCTGCATGTAGTGTCGTTAACTTGGGTTACGACCATTTGATGATGCGCAAACATCTTCGCCGTCCCTAATTGAATATAAAACGGGTTGTTACTTGGTGATTATGGTGACAATTGCAAGTCGGAGCAGTGCATTTTTGTTTATAAATCATTACGTGCCGCGTCCAGCCAATAAATTATTTATTGCTTATCAAAACTCGTACATTATGTAATGTTTAGTATCTGATTCATGTTGCTCTCAATGCCTGTGATACGCAAATTTGAGCGTTTTCCACCATTTAAGGCGACATTCAATTTTAAACGCCGTATTTCATATATTTTTATCTTATTCGATGTTTTCCTTTTTTGTTGCGTTCGATACAGAAACAATGCATTAACAGTACAATATTTAAATAATAAAATATGCATATTATTAAAATTTATGGTGACAATTTATTATTTAATTATAAAGATACATTGAAAATATTTCATTAAATCCAATTCCGAACTCGAAATGTGCGTTAATGGAGAATCGCATAGGGTTCGGCAATAGAAATTGGAAGCGAAATAAATTTCAGTTAATTGCGATTAAGTGCGGTTGTAAATAATTCGGTAATGGAAACTAAATAATAGGTATGTATTTAAACCATATTTTTTTACATAAAGATAATGATGTTATTAGCTATTAAAATAATTATTGAATTTGAATTTTTAAGAATATTATTTACTTAAAAAATTTCCCCAAGGCTTCCTCTGTGGCTTCTTTGGTCAACACAAAGAATAAACAAAAATGTTTAAGAAAAGTTTAAAAGAAAAATCCAGTGTAGTTAGGTATCTAGTCAGTATAGTTCGTGTTTTCAAGTACTAAGATCTTGTAATTAACTTTTTTCTCACTTTTACTCACAGCGCTGTTTCATCTATTTATGGTGCTACCCAAACTTCTACTCCTTGTTAAAGTACGTATTGCGTGAATGGCCTATTGAGTGTAAGCATCATCGATCTAGTGTCGAGCCATTTTTAAATGGAACTAAATATTGCAAGTTGCTGTGTTGTGTAGTTGTATGAAGAGCTTGTATGAAACAACCAATTTACAATCCGAGCGATTTGTATTTCTAGAGGCAATGAAAATATAAAGCAAGGAGAACAATTACATCAGGCTAATCTGATCTAATCTGTGTGTACACAATATTATACATGATCATTCAGATTAGACTGATAAAATTGTTGTTCTTACTCTATATTTTCATTGCCGCTAGAAATACAAACCTCTCGGATTGTGAATTGGTTGCTTCATCCAAACGATCATTTTCATAATAGAATTAGGGGCAACATGTAATAAATGTTGATACTATTTCTGTAAAAAATTTGAAAATATGAGAGTTGTTTTCAGTGATAGTTTTAGGCGTTACTAATAGCCAAAGTCAATAATCTGGTTTCTCACTGTTAAAGTCAAGATTACATGTTATTTTTCTTTCATGGAGAAAGATGCTTTATTAGAAATTTTCTATTGCTTACAACTTCGTTGTTACTTTATATAAAATCGGTAAAATTTCTTTATTGTTTATCTTCTTTAAATAAAGTGTATTTGAATAAATCATTAAAAGAACATTAAAAAAATACCAAAACATTATAATTCATTATTATTAATAAAAAACTTCAATGTTAATTTGATTTTAGTGTTGCTTCATCAGAAGCCAGGTATTTTAAAACAAAAAACAAAACATATTGTATCGTGTAATGGTGCTTTTTTATTTTTTATTAAGTGAATAAAACATCAATAATAATTTTTTATGATAAAAATTATCGATTCTTTATTGTAGATAAAACCAATTGATACTGACATTTATTAGGCACTTAAAAGCCAGAAGATGAAAAGATAGAATAAATGTTTGAATTTTATAAAAAATTATCTCGTTAAAGCTTAACTGGCAGGCATCTGAACGGTTTGATATTTAGATTGTGCGAATCCGAAGTCATTGTCAGTCACTGTCAAGTTTATTAATGTTTCAGTTTCTTCAAATCACTTCATTAATATTTAATAATAATAATAATATTTAAAACAGTCTCAAACGCACGAAATTAATAGATATTTCCCCCTCACCCACTCATTAATAAAATGATGTTGTCTACTTGTTTTGTAATTGAAATGAATTTACTTATTTGGGAAAGGAACCGTGCTAAGTAAATGAAAGTCTCAATTTAAGCCAAAGATACTTAAATTTGTTTAAGGATTCTTTTTTAACATTTTTTTTAATTTTTTTTTTAATTTTTTCAGTAGAAACGCAGTATTGCTCTACTCTGATTTGTTTGAGATAATGAAAATCTTAATTCTACAAACAATTTGAGCGAACTCATTTCAAGATACGTGATCACAGAATTCAGTTAAAAAGGCAAAAATGTGTTTAAATGGGTTTAAGCATAAACAGAATAAATTATCGAGAACGAAATGAAAAAAAAGACTAAATTGAATAATGTGAGACACATAAAAAGACCGAATTTGTACGAAAATGAAGAAATCAAGTCATCACGTACTTCATTCGCATAATTTCTTCAATAATTTTTAGTTAAATTGTTTTATTTTACGCTTCAGTAACCTTTGGTGTTGATTTATTCTCGCTGAGTTGTGAGTGAGTTGTGAGAAATGGATATATTCGCAGATGCTTCAGTCTTTGAAGATTTTGTGAATTTCAAATATGAAACAATTAACAAACACAACGAGATGAGCCTTGGATATGAGATTTTTCTGTGAGATATAATTTAGGCTGTAATTTATGTGATCTATGTCTAAATCCTGTAAAGAGATGTTATCGAAAAACAGTGACGGATTTTTGAAGTACATAATTTTTAAAATGTATGAGACTTTAGTTTCTGTGTCAAAATAATATAATAAAAATCATTCCCTTTTCTTAAACAAAATGTAAAGGACTAAAGAAATTTAATCATAAATTGAATAAAAATTCCAGTCAATTTTGGAATAAAGATTATCATATATTAATACCACAGCTTGACTTTTGATACTATTAGACCTCACCCAGAACCTTACCGCTCCCGACTTTTATATCTGATAACTTAAATTTATTGACAAACGCATCTTTAGCGTGAGCACATGCTTGTACTGAAAAAAAGTGTAACGCTTATGGCAGCGCGCACTGCCTCAACGCAAAAACGCCGGCAATTCGCTGTTGTGCCGATGATGAAGTTAAGATTTCGTTATGATTGTGAATTTTGACGTTTTTATTACATTTATTTTTGTTTCTTATTATGTATAAATTTTGACGCAAACACTATAAAAGCCCAACCTGTGCGGGTTTTCCAAATTATACTGTTGTAGCAAGATCACTCAGACACACCGATACCACCTGTGAATTCGGCTGAGTTTGTGCTTAATTTCATTGTGAGAAGCTTATTAAATTACAAAAATTTTTAAAAACAAATATCTCAAAAGAAGTGTATAAAATAATAATCCCGATTAATATGCTAAATAAATGTATAATTTTGTTTATTTGCCTGTTTTTGTGCACCAATGCTGCAGTGACCACAAACAGCAAAGTCCAACAAACGCAGTACAACAATTATTACACCAACAATCCAGTTACGGTGACGACCGCAAAATCCTTTCACAGTGAAAAATATGAAAAAGTGCAAACCGAAAACCGCATAATTGACCGCTTTAATCACCGTTATCCGGACGGTAGCTACGAGTTCCGCTATGAGCAGAGTGACGGTTCTGCACGGTACGAACGTGGTTATTTTCTACTTATCGATAACGTCAAAACTTTAGTCGTTGTCGGTTACTACTCCTACCGGCAACCAGATGGGAGGTATTTGACTGTATTCTACAATGCGGACCAAAATGGATATCGGCAGAACCAATGTAAGTTCTGAAGACATTTTATTTTTCCTGTTACCATCTGAAATAAATAGTTACTTGATATAGTCACACAAGTAACTATTTATAGTTAACACACTTGATATAGTGTTAACTATATAATATCGTTTTCCTACTCTCATTGTATTCTCCTACTCTGTGCTATAAGGTAACACTAGTGAGAACGATTTGCATGAAATCCTATAAAATTCATTTTCACAGGCATATAAAAAGGATTACATCCGAGGTTCTATGCCTTATCATATACATATACATAACTTAAATAATACCTTTATTCATATCCAAATTATCTTTAGAAAATAACTTATTAGATTTTTAAATTATTTTTGGAAGCCATAAACATTTCTTAATGTATAAAACTTTAATGGCTTAAGTTTCACGTCAAATGAAGTTTTTCGAACATTTCAGAATATTTCGTTCTTGAAATGTTAATAATTAAACCAAATTAAAATTACAATTCTTAAAAATTTCATTAAGATGTTTAAAAAATATAAATTCTGTTCAAGTTAAACTGCAAAAAACTTAACTGAAATTTTCATTAAAGGATATTTTTTATTATAAATAGAATATTGTTAGTTTAAACAAAAGCAACAAGTAAGGAGAATGTATCTCAATTGTGATATTCTTTTACTTTATATTATATATATTATATATAATATATATATTATAATATCTTTTAGAGAATACATATACATATATATTCGATTTAACCAAAAATGCTGAAAAATTGTGTGGGAAGAATCCTCCGAAGGTATCAGAATAAACACTAAGTCTGTGTAGATCCCAACATGAATTATGATATTGATGTGACTGCCAATAAAATAATAATAAATTAAAACCCAACATGTTTATTTGTTTGTTATATTTACACACTACACGCAACATTTTATTGTAATCTAACGAATATTTCCAATTGATTTTATTTTTAGCAATCACAGCACAAACATATCCCAATCTTCCTCGTTCAATAGAAGTCCCACAAACAGCTGAGAGAGAAGCGCCAACTTCCCGTCCCAATATTACATCAACAACATCTAGAAGAGATCGTTTTTAAGAAACAATACGGAGGCCAATGGATTTATTAAGTCTATCACAACTATTACAACTAACAGTATTGAAATAATATCAAAAATATTATTTAATAATTATATTGAAACTATAATTAAACTAAAAATAATGTAAAAATATTACTAAATAAAACTTCAGCTACACATCTGTAAACACAAGAGTTTATTTATTGTCTCTTGTAGGTAGTACAAAACTATAATTTGTAATCTATTCCACCTTGACACAATCTTGAGTTCACCATTGTTTGAGTTTCAAAACTGCACTTGTAACGCCCCTAGACATGAAATACAAAAACGTAAATCCAAAAAGACACACCGAATAATGAGTCGAACACGTCAAAGGATTTATTGTACCAAAGCATAAATAACACTGTAATGAATTATAATACAGTTTAACGTTTAAAAAACACTCCAACTGATTTAGCTGCTTTGATCTAAAACTTGGCTTCCATTAAATAGTTTATATATCTGAGAGAGAGAGAGAAAGAGAGAGATAGAAACGGAATATTTCAATAACCCCACTTCCACAACCTTTCATTCCATTTTTTTTTACCGAATTTTAGTTTTGGTCTTAAATGAGAGTGAAAGATTTTTATCGGTCGTAAAAATTCTTAATATATCAATAAATAAATATTTTTCTGTTTGAAATTCTGTTTTAGTAATTAATGCTAAACAAAATGCAAAACGACCTGTCAAAATAAGTTGTTCTTGTCAGGCAATTTAATTGCGAAAGCAAAAATAATGTCTTAAGAATTAATTTTTAAATTAAATTTTATAAAATTTTAATATCGTTATCTTGATATTTAATCGATGTGTGGTTGAACATACAATACATATTTCAAATTTATAAATTATTTGCAACACTTTTAATTTAATAAAGATTAATAAACCTCAAAATCAAACATACCATATAAACTCTCAACCCAAAATATATTATACGAAATAAAGCAATGTAAATTCTTTAAATAACTGTGACAATATAACATTTTAATTACAGCAATAAAAATAAATTTATTTCAAATACATACAATTTGCACAAATTTATACAAATTTATCCAAACTCCATAAAAGATACACAAACCTACGCATTGATGTACAAGTGAGAGTGCAGCAAATATTCATAAACAATTTTTGTGGTCTGCAGATTTAGAATGTGTCTCCCCTGCCATGCTCGCCTATAAAAAGTTGCATTTTTCTCAACTTGCCAGCCATCCATAGGAGATGCATTATTTAATATAGAGAAAATGTTTGCTCTTAGAACTGATCAGTATGCAGTTGTATCCTTGTGTCACTAAAAGTATGCAAGAATATTGGCTGACACTGTGTTCATTACTGTACGCATTACTAGCAAATACTGCCGACTATGTGTGTGTGTTTATGTCTGCACAAAGAACAAACAACAAATAAATTTAATAGCTTATTCAAGTATTTGCGGCATTTTTATGTTCATAAAATGTATGGGCAAAATTTGTTTGCATGCAATAATGACGCTAGCATGCAACTGCAACCGCAAAGTGCATGAATATAGATACATCGAGCAGCAGATACAAGCACATAAACAATATCTTTATCAATGCAATGGCAAGCCTCATTGAGTAACTGGAATAAACTTATACACACAGCACATGCAGCATTATGCACTTGAACAAACAGAACGACAACACCACAAGCGACAGATCAACGTACGTAGGGACGAACGCCACTTCTGCAGATACGTTATAGTTGGCCTGACGGAGGCACTAGCTCGGATATATCTCTTCATTTTTATTAGTTTTAACAAACTCAAACAAAATATTTATACAAACTTTCATATACCATTGCACATATTTCACATAAAATGAGATATAAGTGCGCGTGTGTTACTGCTTGTGCCAGTCCATCTATCTTTGAGCTCGTTGAACTGCATCATTAATTGATATGTAATGTATTATGTGCACATTCAGTTCTTTCTCTTTTATTAATTTTTCAAAATATTATGATGAAATAATACAAAATGCAGTAAAATTAACTTCACCACTAAACAAAAATACAATCTAAAGCCAGAATTCCAAAACATAGTCTGTGTGTTTGCCGAGTGCCAAGTAGAGAGGTACTTCTAAATGCCGTATATGCCGTATACGTTGTGCGCAAAGTGATTAATAATTGAGTTGTGTGTTTTTAAATGTCTTAATTAAAATTTTACTTTTTGTCTTTTGATTTAGATCAAAACAATAAATCACTAAAACATCTAATCTATGCCGCATTTGATTCGTGATTAGTATGGATTTAAATGCTGACAGGAGTTCATGTGCATTGCAGTTGGAAAAAAACTTATCAAACTTTTCAGAAATTAAAATAACAATGATCAATAGATCTGCTTCCCCTTATTACTTTAAGAACAACACAATTGGTAGTAGATACTCGTATGTTCAAGTGAAAGTGATCATCACTTAACCTAGCCTTGTTAAAACGAAATTTGGAATTGGAAAAAAATATTTTTCAAATACATGCAGCCTTAAATAAATATAATATAAATATCGAAATATATTTTAATGTTTCATTTAAATACGACGGCGGTTTGATAAGTCAGTGACTTTTTGAATTTCCCGCGCAGTTACTTCAAATGCAACAGTGTTGCCGTCAGCTGTAATCTACCAGTGGGCAACTTTTTAATTTTGAGCAAGCTACGTCTTTCAGTTGGTGTTTGATAGCCGTTCAAAGTAGATAGACTCGTGAATTTTTACGAAAATGGAAAAGAGTAAATTTCGTGTGCTGATTAAGCATTCGTGGCCAAAATCCACGAATTTGGATACGAACTGCTACTCTATCCAGCATATTCTCCAGATTTAGCCCCCTGCGACTACTTTCTGTTTCCAAACCGAAAGAAATGGCTGAGCGGTAAGAGATTTGAGTCGAATGAAGAAGTCATTACCGAAACAAACGCGTATTTTGAGAGCTTTGAGAAAACCTATTATTTGGAGGGAATAAGAAAATTAGTAAAATGCTGGACAAAAAAAATGCCGAAAAAAATTTTTTTTATTCAAAAAGTCATTGACTTATTAAACCGCCCTCATTTACACATATATAATCGTATTAACATTTGTGCTACTCGAGTGTGATATATTATAAAAGCCAATTAATAACTTTTAATTGACTGTAATAGCTTCGATTTTCGTAGAATATAGTATGATATATGCTCCTTTTGAATGAATTAGGTGCAGATATTATGGTTCATTCAAAGTTACTAGTTACCATTCTTCCATTATTTATGTTATATCTTCTCGCTAACAGCGATTGTTGCTGCAAATGGAAATGGATCAAACTGTGTTTTTGATAGTGTATCTCTAACGCCACTTACTGAACACATGACGAGCGTGATCTTATCACAATCCTTCGTTTTTATTTTCAATATATTCAATCATTAGGCGTATTTGAAGTTCACTTAATTTGGCTGAATATAAAGTAGCCCATGAAACATATCATCTGACAAGCTTATTATTAAACCATAATTGTATAAATGTTATTAATTTAGTTTTTGTATTAAGAGTCAAAACAATCAACTCAAATCAACATAATCATTTTCATAACTTCTGCACTCATTTACTTAAACTTGATTATATTATTTTATTCCATACTTGATCAATATTTATTTCTCTTCAAGACGATTATATCAATTGCAAAAACATTTCGCCCTATCTGGTCTTCTATCTGTTCTTCTGTTCAACGGCGCCGGGTACAAAGCTTATACTATAAATATTGGCTTATAGAATAGCCCCAAATCGATGTATGGAAATTTTTCATTTGAGTTTTAGTGCTGTTATTTATTGTAATTGGTTTGAAAGTGTGCATAGTGGTGAATGAAGTGTTCTTGGAAATGGTTTTTAAAATGTCAGTTTAAGTTATGTTCAGACACACATACATACAACACCCATTAAACAAATTTTTGCACACCCAGAAACAGATATAAAGCCATAGAAAAGTTGATTCTACAACAAAGTTGAGCATTTTATCATAATTTTTATTGTTTTATTTATTTACTTGTGTGAAGTGATATAAAATATTAGGCCCATTTCAGCTCAATTTATCATATTTTTGCTCCGCCTACCAATGTCCGGTAGAAGTAGAAGTAACATAAACAATATATCACATTGCAAAAGGAAAGGCTTAATCTTAGCAAAGTTCTGCAAAGTAGAGAAATATCTTCGCTCGTGCTTAAATCTCGTGCCACAGACATAAAATTTTATCACTCACAATGTAGACAAATTCATGCTCTAGTGGCACACATGTTATCCACAGATACAATTTCTATCTGTTTTTATTTTTGCTTAGACATCAAACTGAAATCAATACACGCATTTTTAAAGTTCCATCTGAGGGAGTGCTGTTCCTGCTGTGACTTCATACCGGATCAAGGAAATGAAAATTCCTGAGCAGAGCAGACGTAAACTTAGCAAATGTTGAGTTTCTTTTCAGACTCTGGAAAGCTGCAAAATGTTAATTTTGTGACAAGTTTTTAGTTTTAGTAACGAAAACTTTGCAAACTGCACTCACTGCATTCACTGCACTGCATCGCAACTACTTGCACGTCAAGTTGAAGTTGTGCGCTTAGGATGTTGCACTATTAAATCCTTTTTATCGCAACTTGTCAAATTTAAAACTTAATTAAGTGCCTTGCATATGAGAAGCAGTGGATCCTCTCTAAGTTTTTTCATATCGTTTTCTCTGATTTTGACAACATTTTATGCATAATCACATCGGCATTTAAAATGCTGTTAATACTCAACTCTGAACTGTGGAAAACTTTTTAATTATTAGTTTCTACCTCACAAATAAGTTAGGTAGAAATGTTTTAACATTTAATTAAAGTCATTCCAAATAACGCATGCTATAGAAGTTTATATTGAAATTTAATAGCTTTATTTAACAGATATTGGGAGATGTAAAATGTCACTCTACTAGCAAATTTCGTCAAAAATCTTAACCTACAAAATGAGTTTATGAAGATACACTCAAAATTCTACATTTTATGCGAATTTACTAACTATGAAACTAAATTTATACTTAAATGCTTACAATAGTGAATACAATATAT